GGGATTGTCATTTCCGCCCTTGGCTGTAGAAGGTTGAATCATTGGGACAATGATTGAAAATCCCGGGGTAGATTGTAGTGGGATCACCCATTTAACATTATTCTGCGTGGCCCCTTTAAAAATAGCGCACGGATTGCATAAAGTGGGTGGGCACGTCAGGTAATCACGTAGCTATAAAAACACAGGTGAGAGTTAGTTTCCTCATGGCATTGTATCGATGTGACCTGTTTGTCTTGTATCTCCTTCACTCCTCGGGAAAGATTAGTCGGGTACTCCAGGCATTGTTAGTGAGTATGTGAGTGTCATACACGTGAAAGAAGTTGCCAGCTGCTGCTTTGCTGCGGCTTAAATTGTGTTTCCAGTTTGGGACGTAGGATTGCCTTGAAAGCTCGAGATTGCATTGGACGCTCGCGATTGCATTCATTGAATGTCTTTTCTATTGCCTGTACAGCGCTCACGTTGGACGCGCTAAACTCGTGACTGCATTGGACGCTCGCGATTGCATTCATTGAATGTCTTTTCTATTGCCTGTACAGCGCTCACGTTGGACGCGCTAAACTCGTGACTGCATTGGACGCTCGCGATTGCATTCATTGAATGTCTTCTCTACTGCCTGTACAACGCTCACGTTGGACGCGCTAAACCCGTGGCCTTTGATTCTGGCCCCACCTTGTGTTCGATCACTTCGCAGGGGTAATTTCATTAGATTTGTGAATTCGTTTTTTGTGTCTATTCGTTTTTTGGTGTATTTTGTTTAAGTGCGTGTGTAGTGTTGAATTGAAATTGTTTTGTTTTATTTTATTATTAGTTTTTGTTTATTAACCAATTTGTTTATTTTTTGCTTTGTGTTGGTTGTATCATTTCTTTGTCTTGCCTTACATTGATACCGCTCAATTACGGAGTGGATTAATTGTGGTTTATTTGTTTTTTTTGTTTCTTTTGATTTGGTTTATTTGGTTGGTGTTGAGTGGGTTTAAATAATTATTGTATTTTTGGGTTTGGTTGGTTTGAAGTGTTTTGATTTGTATTCATTTTTGCTTTATTAGTTGAGCGGTGAAATGTTTTATTTAAAGACATAATACCAAAGAAAGAAACCAACTTGTTTAGATTATCCTTTTTTTTGTGCAATTTTCTTTTTGTTAGTATATATATTTATTTATCTTTCTGTATATTTGGCCAGGGTATGGGTGGCCGGCCCATGTGAACCGACTAGACAATGCCCATTGGGCTGATTCATTCACATTGATTGAAGTGTTTTTTATCATTGATGTTGAGCTCAAGATGGTTTTAGTAACTAATTGATAAATAAAATTGTAGTCTGTGGTTTTGTCTCTGCTCGTCCTTTTCCTTTAGTGGAAAGCCTGATTGGGGAGGCTTGAAAATTTGGGCTCTGAGTACGGGCCTTACTAGTGTAAGTTGATCAAGTCCTACGGTCACAAACGGATGTTTTACACAACAACAAGGATATATTCCCATTGGGTTTTCATGTTTTATGGGAACTTTAGACATCATGATTTTATACTGTACAAACTGTGTTATCCCCTAACTCTAATGTAACCGTTATGGGTAGGTCATATACGGACATCTAATGTTACGGACATATTTTATCATGGTACAGTTCAGTTATTGATTATTTTTTTTCCACTTCCCTTTTATCCAAAGAGACGGAACTATTTGCACTGTATTTATCAATGGGAAATACATCATGCTAAAGTAATCTGTCATATAGGTCTACTGTGGCTCACATTACTGGGGTCGCAGAGCCCCCATTACCAGCAACATTTCTGCTTCAAATATTGTGCGTAGTTAACAGTGAGTGGTGGTTTCAGACATTGTTTTATTAAAGTGCATTTATTAATACTCTTATTCTGCCCGACAGAAAGAAAAGCTTGTACTGAAGGCGGAGCGGTTTGACCAATCAGATGAAAGGGGCGTTTCAGCGCCGCCCACGTGTGCAAATGAAATATCGAACCCATAAACCGATTTGTAAACCACAAACGAAAAATGAAAAATCGAGCCAAAATCTAATTTTTCGTTTTTTAAACTAAACAAAAAAACGAATAAACGAGCTGGATTTCATTTCTCGTTATTCCATTCCAAACAGGAAATCAAATGACCAAAAGATACACGGACCCTGACAGTTGCCGTGGTTTCTATGTCAACAATGGGCGCCGCAAACATTGATGACGCAGATCGAATAACATCTATAGGAATATTGTTCCATTAGTTCTGGAACAATATTCTTATCAAACAATCATATCCCTAAGCTTGACCTTAACCTAAAACTGTAGTAAAAAGAGTAAATGTACTTCTAAATCTGATTTATAACAAGTTATAAATTCAGGAGCGTGTGCTCTTTGCGTAACCCTTGTAAAAAAGAAGTGAGCTTAACTTTATTGAATGTGCTTCAAATCTGAAAAGTATATGTCTAACAAAACTATACTTGCAGAAAATACAGTAATAAAATAAAAGGCTGTTTAAATGTCCTTAAAAAGAGTACATTCATTTTTTTCAAAAAAGTGCACTTTGTAATAATGTCAATTTAAAAGTCCATTTACTTAAAGGGATACTCCACCAGTTTTTCTTATTAAACTATGTTATTCCCTTAACTAAGACGAGTTGATACATACCTCTCTCGTCTCAGTGCGTGCACTATATCGCTCTGTATTGCCGCAAAACTATGTTAGCACTTAGCTTAGCCCATGCATTAAATATGGGCCAAGCAGAGAAGCGACCAAACACTTCCACGTTTTCCCTATGTAAACACAGTTACTCGAGTAGTGTAACTTGACCTGGGCTGGTGACACAAAATAAACCGTTGCGCTTTTCTAAGCGTTTAAAATTGATGACTATATTGTATGGCGGAATACCATAACAAGTGCTTTTGAGCACTTCGACTTGGCGCAATAATATCTTCACTTGTGAAAAGTCCTCTCACCGGCTCCCGCTTCCTCTCCCCCTCCCTCTGACATTTCCGTCAATGCAACCAACGTGACATGCGCCGGTAGTAGTAGTTCGAGCGGAGTTGACGAAGTAACAGGTTGTTGGAAGCTAGTTTGTGTACAATAATGGTTAAAGCGTGCATCGTAAAGGGTTGTGAAAATAAGGAGAATGTACATAGTGCTGTCATTTTTCACCGAATTCCAACACACCACATACAGCGGAGAGCTTGGTTAGCTGCTTTGAACAAGAATCCCAAAACACCACCCAGATAGCACAAGTCTATTTGATGTTATATTTACATCTGGAAGACGTATTTTTAAGAGTGTTTGCTCATCTGCAAGACGTCTGACGTTTCCTGTCAGATGTCAAATAGACGTTTAGAAGATGTCTTTAAGATGTAATGATTTAGAATGCATGTTAAACTGACATCTTCCAAACGTCTATTTGACATCTGACAGGAAACGTCCTATAGACGTCTTGCAGATGAGCAAACACTCTTAAAAATACGTCTTCCAGATGTAAATATCACATCAAATAGACTTGTGCTATCTGGGCATTGATGACTCTGAAGAAGTGGCGTGTTTGCTCCGAACATTTCACAAAGGAGGACTATACCTGCACAGGAACACGCCTAAAGGATGAGGCTACACCAACAATATTCAGATCACTTACAGAAAGCCCGTGGTCTTTCGCCAGCTCCGGTCTGTTCTGGATCATATCTTTCTTGCCTCTCACGGTCCACAAGAGCTAATTCCTCCTCCGTGTACTCGGGTTCAAACAGATATGGCTCTGGGTCTTCTAAAAGAAGTCATAATCATCTACAAAGTCGGCCATTGCAAATGATCTGCAGTTTGCTAATAGCACAGGTAGTAAAAGTCACGTTGGTTGTATTGACGGAAATGTCAGAGGGAGGGGGAGAGGAAGCGGGAGCCGGTAAGAGGACTTTTCACAAGTGAAGATATTATTGCGCCAAGTCGAAGTGCTCAAAAGCACTTGTTATGGTATTCCGCCATACAATATAGTCATCAATTTTAAACGCTTAGAAAAGCGCAACGGTTTATTTTGTGTCACCAGCCCAGGTCAAGTTACACTACTCGAGTAACTGTGTTTACATAGGGAAAACGTGGAAGTGTTTGGTCGCTTCTCTGCTTGGCCCATATTTAATGCATGGGCTAAGCTAAGTGCTAACATAGTTTTGCGGCAATACAGAGCGATATAGTGCACGCACTGAGACGAGAGAGGTATGTATCAACTCGTCTTAGTTAAGGGAATAACATAGTTTAATAAGAAAAACTGGTGGAGTATCCCTTTAAAAGTTCATTTTAAATAATCGTTTTGTCACGCTTCAAAGACGTACACATATTTTGATGTTTAAAGCACAGTATTTGTCTGAAACATGCCAGCAATGCGATAATATATACTAGCAACCATCCAAAACAAACTGGCAAACACATAGCAACACCCTAGCAACCACCCAGATCACCCTCGCAACTGCATAGAAACACCCTAGCAACCACAAAGCAACAACCCCAAGTACCCTAGTAAACGCATAGCAACATCCCAGGAACCACCCAGAATACCCTCAAAACCACATAGCAACACCCTAGCAACCACAAAGCAACAACCCCAAGTACCGTAGCAATCGCATAGCAACACCCCAGCAACCACCTAGAATACCCTCAAAACCACATAGCAACACCCTAGCAACCACCCAGAGTACCCTAGTGATAACTAGGGTATAACAGATAACAGTGATAACAGGAAAATTATGCATTTCGTCTGCTGTTCATTTGAAGTCAGTTCACCACAACCACCTGAGTACCTTAGCAACCTTAGTACATAGCAACACTCTAGCAACTACCCCTAGTACACATAGGAGTTGCATAACAACCACCCAGAATACCCTCGAAACCGCATAGCACTCTGGCAACCACCCAGCGTACTCTAGTAACTGAAGCGCAACAACCTAGCAACCACCTTGAGTACCTTAGCAACCACCCAGAATGCCCTTGAAACCAGTTTGCAACACCCTACCCTTTTTTTTTATTTTTGTTCAGGTTTGAACTCCTCCAGGATCCTGAGCGTTGGTTGGCTATTGACCGTGAGACTGGGCAGATCACAACCAGAACAACCTTCGACATCAAATCTCCTCGCGTCAGGAACAACATTTACTCTGCCGTCGTGAAGGTCACGGATCAGGGTGAGCACCTCGCACCCGCAGACAGACACGGCTGACTTTGTTTGAGTAAAAACAGTGATGGTTTCTCTGCTTCCAGACGCCGATGGCATCTCTGCGACCGCGACACTGGAGCTCAGTCTGTGGGAGACCAATGATTACCCACCGGTGCTGAAGCCCTCGAGCGGGCCGCTGTGCAGCGACTGGGACAGGGATAAACTGGGCCTGATGATCAGTGCAGTGGACGAGGACATGTCTCCTCAAGCGGACCCCTTCACCTTTCACATTCCTGACCAAAGCGCAGCCGCAAATTGGACCATCATAACTCTCAATGGTAACACTTAAAAAATCATTTATATGCACAGGTGAAACTCTGAAAAATTTGAATATCGTGCAAAAGTTCATTTATTTCAGTAATTCAACTTAAAAGGTGCAACTAATATATTATATAGACTCATTACATGCAAAGTGAGAGCTTATGAAAACCCCAAATTCAAAATTAGAATATTGTGAAAAGGTTTTCAAAAGCTGTAAGCCATAATCATCACAATTATAAAAAATAAAGGCTTGAAATATCTCACTTTGCATGGGCACTGTCTGGGTTAGAGATGGAGCTCACAGTGTTTACTCTGATCTCCTTGTGTTTTCTTCCGTCTCTTCACATGTACGTCCCAGAGACCCATGCAGTTCTCCAGCCACTGATAGACATAGAGAGGGGGGAGTTCTCTATTCCTGTGGCCGTATCGGACTCGGGCTCGCCTTCACTCTCCTCTAGTGCGCTGGTCAACGTAACCGTGTGTCCCTGTGACAGTTTCGGGGACTGCAAGAGCTTCACCGCAGCCATCTTTGGAGCCAAAATGGGAATAAGCTTCATTGCCCTTATGATTATTATGGGAAGCGTTGCTTTTCTCTTGTGTAAGTTTAATTTTATTTTTAATATTCTACAATATTATTGATCTGCCTGCATTGACATCATTATATGAGAACTGAACTGAGCTGGACGATGACATCACGGTTTACTCTAGAGTGGCTATGGCTACACACACACACACACACACATATATGAAAACTCAAAAAATTTGAATATCGTGCAAAAGTATGTATTTCAGTAATTCAACTTAAAAGATGAAACTAATATATTTCGTATTATATAACTATATACATATGCATGATTATACTTTTCAGAGGGCCGACTGTATTTAAAATCCTTTTTTTTATTGATTTCATGTAATATTCAAATTTTTGATTTTGAAATTTTGAAATTGAATTCGGGGTTTTCATAAGCTGTAAGCCATAATCCATCAAAATCATAACTTTTGCACGATATTCTAATTTTTCGAGTTTGACCTGTATATATATATATATATATATATATATTTGAAGTAAATTAATAACTTTTTTTACAACAAAAAATAACCATCACTGAACTTACTTAAGCTGACTGTGACGCTATTTTCTTTCAACACAAACTTTGTCGCATTATTTCCCTGTTATCTCTGTAAAGCTGCTTTGAAACACTCTATATTGTAAAAATCACTATAAATAAATGTGACTTTACTTGACTTGAATTACTTGACTTATAGCTTATGAAAAACCTTTTCACAATATTCTAATTTTGAATTTGGGGTTTTCATAAGCTGTAAGCCATAATCATCAAAATTATGACAAATAAAGGCTTGAAATATCTCACTTTGCATGTAAATGTAATGAGTCTATATAATATATTAGTTGCACCTTTTAAGTTGAATTACTGAAATAAATTATTTTTTGCACGATATTCGAATTTTTTGAGTTTCACCTGTATATGCATATGCCTAACCATAACCCTAATAAGCTGTAGTATACACTGGATGTTTGCTATAGTAAAAGCTGAGTGTGTGTTTTCAGTTCTGCTGGTTCTCGCAGTGGCGGTGAGGGGTTGCACGAGGCAGAACATGGGCAAACGAGGAAGTTTGCTGGTCGGAGCGTCTGACGATGACATCCGAGACAATGTCTTCCATTATGACGAGCAGGGAGGCGGAGAAGAGGATGAGGTGAGAGCAGGGACAACACGAAACACATTTTATACACTAATTATCTGAAATGATATATTATGTAAAGGTCATACAATAGAGTAGAAAAAGAGTAGCACAAGAACATACTACAATTTCTGCAGTATACAGTACGTTTACATTTGTCAAAATGTTCGTTATATCTACAGCAGAGGACACCAAAGACATTTTTACAGTCATTTTGTTATTTATTTGACACATTTCTGAATACTTAGGTCACTTTGAGCACAAAAGCAGTCTATGTGGGCTAAAATAAGGATACTTTTTCACTTCTCTGGCACAAAATACATTAAGGTCAAAGGTCGATTTAGGCATTTTCCGTGACGGACAGGGTCATAAAAATAGTCATAATCTTTTAATTTTCTTATTTGAATGATAATAAGCCAATTATTAGGCTCTGTTTTTGTTCACAAACGTACAGGACAAGCATGCTAGATAATGCATTTATTTATTTATTAATCGCAATAAGCTTTGTTACTTTTGATATCTGTTATCTACTTTGATGAAGTTCTCAGCTGTCAAATTCTCTCCAAAGCTTGAAGAATCCTGGTGTTCTCGGGCAGCAAAGTTTAACAAACTTGCGTGTTTGTTGTATTTATTAGTGTTTTGAAGTGAAATGGGGAATGTCCTGAAATACCTAAAGCTGTTTCCGTCCAATAGGATGCATTTAATATCGATTTTCTGAGGAACCCAAGTGACACGGTCCCTGTCCCAGCCTCATTTTTCCCACAAGACTGTGGCATTCCCAGAGGAAAACAACCTCTAAGAAAAGATGCCCCCCATAACCTTCCTTCTCCTACATATCCACGCAAAGCCCCCGGAGACCCGACCGACATCGAAGATTTCATCAATGTTGTAAGAGACTTTTCTTTAATAAGAAATAAGGCTCCCGCTTTATATTAAGTGTCTTTAACTCACATTTAAACTAATCTACTTTTGTTACGGTGTAGTTCTACATTTAAGCACCAAGTAAAATGTACTTACAACAGGGTTTAGGCTTAATTACATGTAGTTATGTACAATTTGTATTCACTCCTGCAGTAACAACATTTAACGTGTAACAAGGACACTGTAAAATAAAGTGTTACCATTTTTTTTAATGCAAATACATAGTACTTAAAGAAATCCTAATATAAAGTGAAATAAGATTCAGTCTGAAATATTTGTGGGTAATTCACAGGAAAACTCCTCAAGTATTTAATTTTTAAAAAGTTTAAAGCTGAATTTTCAAGAAATACCAATTTTCTTCAAGTACCACCATAACAATTGCGAGACACCGCAAACATATTCCAATATCTTCAATAGTTTTTCTACTACATATAAATGTAATAAATTATTATTATTACTGTTATCCACAGTCTTAAATATGAGTGTTATTAGCTGTTTCTGATTACTAATCCAAAAGAAAGGGTTATTTTAACTCCGTCAAAGCAAGTTTGAAATTTAGTGTTTGAAATAGAATATCCTGATTTAGAAATTAGAAAGTATTTAAAAAAAAAAGAAAAAAAAAAAGAGAATATCATTAAAATGAATCAAAAGCATTTTTTAAAACACTTTATGACCCATAAAGAATGCACACACACTCTAAAAAATGCTGGGTTGTTTCAACCCAACGCTGGGACAAATATGGACAATCCCAGCCACTGCGTTACATTTTTAACCCAACATTTGGTTTTGTCCACTTTTGACCAAAAACTGGGTTACAGCAACCCACCATTTTTTAGAGTGCATGCAAATTTAAACAGATGATAAAGACATAATACTACATGTTCCAGTATTGTGTGTGTGTGAGTGAGTGTACCTGGATGAGAGACTCCTGGGAAAACCATGTTTCTGCTGGAAGAGGTGTTCGTGAGGCCAGCAGGGGGCGCTCACCTGTGGTCTGTGACGGGGACACTATACTGTCAAAGAGCACCGTCCTTCAGATGAGACGTTAAACCGAGGTCCTGAATCTCTGTGGTCATTAAAGGGTTAGTTCACCCAAAAATAAAAAATGATGTCATTAATGACTCTCCCTCATGTCGTCGCCCGTCAGACCTCCGTTCATCTTCAGGACACAGTTTAAGATATTTTAGATTTAGTCCGAGAGCTTTCTGTCCCTCCGTTGTAAATGTGTGTACGGTATACTGTCCTTGTCCAGAAAGGAAATAAAGACATCATCAAAGTAGTCCATGTGACATCAGTGGGTTAGTTAGAGTGTGTTGAAGCATCGAAAATACATTTTGCTCCAAAAATAGCAATTTTCAGATGTTAACAGTAAACAGCATCAAGGGTCAAGAAAACTTTCCAGAGGCAAATGTTTTCAAAGAGTAAAGGCTTTATTCTTCTGAGGACCCCCTTCAGACACCGCAGCGACCCAGTGTGTGAAAAAGGAGCCCTGTTTGATTTTCACAAAACATGACATCTTATACAGTTCTTTGGCATGGTAAAACCCCTCCTCTTCCCAGACAGGTCAAATTGTCCTTTGTTCTTGAAGACAAAAGGGTCTTCATTTGCAACCTGAATCACCTTCTGCTCCCCTGGGGCTCTGTATTCTCTCGATTAGATCTCTTCTTGTGGGTCTTCCAGCTGTGGAAACATGATACTAGAAAAACAAGATTCTCTGTTCTCGTAACTCACAAATAAAGGAATAAGAGACCATACGATATTTCAGTGCTATGTCTATTATTATCAGTCAATATTAAAATTTCCATAACAGTCCAAAAATAACAAAAACTAGGCCTTTATTCAGCATTGTATTGTCTTCCGGTTCTGTTGTGGATCCGCGTTCAGTGACGCTGCTGACGTAAGACGCTGCTGACGTGTGTCTGGTGTGTGTGTGAGTCATTAATGACATCATTTTAATTTTTGGGTGAACGAACCCTTTAATGATCCCAGGATGTCCTTTGGAAAAAGAGTAAGGGTGTAACCCCCGGCATCCTGGCCAAATTTGCCCCTTGACCTCAGTTCACATGGCTGTCTCCTCTGCACCAGTAAGCGCACGCGTGTCTGTGTGTGTGTGTGTGTGTGGGGCGTTCTGGCGCACTATGGCTGCCGTCGCATCAGACAGGTGTTGTTGGTTCTATGTAAAGATGTATATAGATGTAACGAATTATTATGGAGTATGTGTGTGTGAGAGAGTGTCAGTGTCTGTTTTTCTGATATTCTGATGAAGAACAACATTTTAAAATAGTTTTCTTATAATCGATTTGTAATAAACAATGAAAATCGAATGCACTTTCTTCAGTGACAGTTTCCCTGTTTTCTGCTTGACCTGAACAGGGTCTGGACGCCGCCGACACGGACCCGAACGTCCCGCCGTACGACACAGCGCTGATCTACGACTACGAGGGCGACGGCTCGGTCTCGGGAAGCCTCAGCTCCATCGCCTCCATGGGCTCAGATGAAGACCAGGACTACGACTACCTCAACGACTGGGGGCCTCGCTTTAAAAAACTGGCTCACATGTACGACCCACGTTAGACGCCGCACTGGTTCTGTTGTTCAAGACGTCCAGATACTCTCAAACATGCATGTCCTTTAAAATCTCATGCCCCATCTTCTACATGAGAGAGTCCTCATGATGCATGTAAGGGGAGGTTTACTGAATTGATAAATGGACTATATATTCCCCAGTGATATGATTGTGCTAAAGGTCATCAGTGTCAGAAGAGAGAATGCACACACTCCCTTTCCGTCATGGATCAGTGAAGTGTTTCAACATGCTGATGCGACAGGTGCCGTGAAAGCACCAACTGGAGAGAGGAACCAAACCGATTAGACATGGTGCAAACAGGGATGCCTTGTTCATAAAACGTTTGTCAGATTATTTTAGCTGATGACCAATACTGAGGTTTGCTGAGCATGTGTAAATGGAAAGAATGAAGCACCCGAAAATGATACGCAAAACTGGCATTCTGAAACCCATATGACTTACTTTCATACATGGAACACAAAAGGAGTCTTTTTTATTATATTTTGTTGAATTTCAGAGCTGCTCTTTTGTATATGCTCTTTTTTTATGTACACATACATACATGCTTCTAAGGGGTGGGCCATTAAATCACATAAATCACCATTTTCAATATAACTAGTAAAAAACTTTGCTTACTGAAGACAAGTAAACTGATAAAATAAGAACAAACCCAGACAGCGACAGCCACATCTGGATTCTACACGGCCCAAATGTGGGCCGACACCATGGATGGGAAGAAACCAATTACAAACATATAGGAAAACGAACTAAAACTGAACAAAGACACAAATGTAATAGACCTACCTGAAAAACTTCAAGCACTAGACATAAGAAATACTACATAAATTGTATAAAGTAATCAAATATGTATAAAAACAATGCATAATCTTCACTTTGCAAATTAAATATACATTTAATCTTATTAAAGTTACGAAAGTGATTCAGTAAAGAGATTTTCTGTTCATCTTTTGTTGTTTGATCAACATTAATGACAGACACACAGATTTATTAGGCTTCTGTCACTTTAAGACCGAATGCACAGATCTAATAGACTGTTACACATACGCTTTTTTCTCAACGGTTACATTCACTCAAGACACGAATGACTGTGTTTACGAGGATACTTGCAAAGATGGACATTTTCACATAAGTATGTGTATTTAACAGTTCAAGCCCAATTAGATGTGAAAGTGCCAATGGAGATCTTTTAAATCTTATGTAATTTAAATAAAGCATGTTTGAGTCAATACAGGTGATAAACTATAGTAAACTGCATTGATTCTTCAGGAATGTCTTTTTAAGTTTGATTGACTGATGACTTTTTAAACGTGATAACTTTGTTTTCAACCATTCTTTTTATATATGACTAGTATATTGTGTAATATATTTGCTTATAATACTATTTTTTGCTTGCCTGCAATTTAACTTCAAAAGTATCTGAGACATTTAAAGAGCCTTAATATTAGTAATACTTATTTTCATATGCAGCGTTGCCAAATTAATGATGCTTCAAATGTATATATTTTTGTTTTCCCCTTCAGGAACAAAATGTTACATAATTACACAATACGTATTATTATTACTATTATTATTTTGTTTTGTTTCTCAATTTTGAGTTACATAGTTTTGTTTTTAATATTTATTTGATAAGAAAATGTAAACTTCTGTCATTATCTTTAGTTATGAATAAAAGATTGGAATGATACCTGTCTGTATTTTTAATAGGGATGCATGATATATCGGCCACCATATCGGTATCGGCCGATATATGTTCATTTTTAATGTTTTCGTTATCGGCCAGATAAGAAAATTTGGCCGATATATTAAAGCCGATAAATAATGGATTATTTCCTTCAGCTGAGACGCTTCAGATGCGCACTGATGGTTTTGAAGTGCTTGAAATATGATTGGAATCACTTCAAAAAAGGAAAATACAGTTTGTCTGTCATATCGGCTACATAAAATTATCATGAGAACATTATAATTGTGTGCTTGGGACATGGATTTAATGTTGAGACTTTGGTTTTTGTAATCAGGCTCTCAAAAATAATATAAAAATTTGGATTTAGAGATTTATCAGCCAATATATCGGTTATCGGCTTTCAAATATAAAGGATTATCGGTTATCGGTTTCGGTCAAAATGTTCATCTCTAGGATGCACCGATATAAAATTTCTCAGCCGATACCGATAGTTCAGAATGATATCGGCCGATACCGAAGCTGATAGTTTGGTTTTTCTTATGGATAAAAAAAAATCTCTCTCAAATAATGCTGAAAACTATACAGAGAACCCTCTCATTTGGTACACTATAATAATAGAGGTTAAAATTAACAACAGAGCTATTATGTATTATATCCAGATACAATATATACACTCAAATAAAAGTTTTAATGTTTGTATGAAACTCAGTTACACATATAAGGTAGTTTTCAAAAGCACTTGTTTTCATGGCAAATTTATTCATATATAATTAACAGCTCTTCTCTAGTTTTTTTTTTAAAGCTAACAAATGGATAACTTTCCTTAGGTAAATGCAACATTAAGTGATATTGTTCACAAACTCTTTTATTGACGTCTTTCCACGGTTGAAACACTGATTGTGTGATTACATGAGACATGATATGGATTTCGCTAAGTTGAAGTACTTATCTTTCAACATACCTTCTGATGTTCATGCATGTTTTTCTTGATATAATTTGCATTAAAGTGGAAGAATAGACTTGGGCTCCACGCTGCTGCTTAAACTGAGGCGCTACAGTGATCCGTCACATTTAAGAGTGTCAAAACGCCATTTATTGTTTGAATTGTTGAATTTGAAAGATTGTTTCTTTTAAAAGTAACAAAGCACAGACCTATTTACGATAATTGGATGAGAGCCACGCTACAAATAATGTTCAGTACAGGGGAAAAAACTGCAGATCTGGCAACCCTGGCATGAACTACGGGTGATTCATAGGGTCAAACAGAGCCTGCTTTTATGTAGCTGTTTTTAGCTGCTTTATTGTCGTATTAACTTGCCCTAACTAACTCAACACGAGAGATTTTCTTCAGGTTTTTCTCACACTGAGTTGCAGTCGGTCATGTTTTACCGCACCCTTTTGATTGACAGGATATAATCGGCACTGCTCATTGGCTTTTTGTAAACAACATCGGTGCATCTTTAGTGCATCCCTAATTTTTAATGGAGAAAAGAGACGGTGATTTAGTTTGCATGTGATTGTTTTGGCAATTTATATTTAAAAAAGGTGAAATGATAAGAGGAAACCTTTTATTTTAGTGTCCTTGTTACACATTGCATGTAGTTACTACAGTAATAACTATAAATCATGCAATTACATGTAACAAAACCCAAACCGTAGAGTAAGTACATGTAGTTAATCAATATTACTCAGTACTTAAATGTATAATTACACTAAACATTTATTGTTATGAAGTGACATTTTTTTCAGTCATCTACCAAAAGCATTATTTAAGATGAATCACGTTGCTCAGTAAAAACTCTTGGACATTGCACACAAGTATAATAATTTATTACATACGGTGCAGAATATCCACTGAAATGACAAGATGGCTTCAGACACACTGCTAGCAATGCTTACCTGGTCTAACAAAACCAGTTTGAGCTGGTCTGGAAAGACGCTCCACTACTGTTTTAAAAACAGATTTCGTGCAATTCTCAAAGGAGGTTTCTACTACTCTTTAAAAGAGTGATTCCTTACGGAGAAAAACAGTCTTGCTCTTAAATGCTTGATTGATGCTTATAAATTGCCTTTGTTTCTTAATCAAATGTCCTAAAGACATTTAAAATACAGGTGAAACTCAAAAAATTAGAATATCGTGCAAAAGTTAATTTCAGTAATTCAACTTAAAAGGTGAAACTAATATATTATATAGACTCAAAGTGAGATATTTCAAGCCTTTATTTGTTATAATTTTGATGATTATGGCTTACAGCTTATGAAAACAAATTCAAAATTAGAATATTGTAAGCCATAATCATCAAAATTATAACAAATAAAGGCTTGAAATATCTCACTTTGCATGTAATGAGTCTATATAATATATTAGTTTCACCTTTTAAGTTGAATTACTGAAATAAATGAACTTTTGCACGATATTCTAATTTTTCCAATTTCACCTGTATAATTACAGGCCAAAATAATCAACGACGAACACATATTGCCATAATTGTTCAGTCAGTCAGATCAGGTCTGACCGGAACGTCAAGAGCGAGAACAACAGAAACATTTTGGGTTTTTTCTTCCCTTAAAAGCAGAACTTTGACAGATCCGGTGTGTGTGCGCTCACGCTGGGCTCAGGTTGATATCATCGTCCTGCGGGTCTTTGCGGGGTCTCTGGGGTCTGCGGGGCTCGTCTTCTCCAGTGTCCTGCTTGTCTCGTTCGGCCTCCACCCAGCTTTGAGGAGCAATCATCTTTTTGGGTCCAAACGGAGAAGGTCCCAGCAAAGCCTCGATGTCCTCATAGTTGACCACTTCCCTCTCAAGCAGGGCATTAGCCAGCTGAAAACACAACCACAGCACAAAAGAACAATAACTGTAATTTCTATTCTCCATAATCAAATGAAACATTTAGTTTTTCTTCAATCACTGAAGCTAAAAATAGTCAAACAAAGAGAAATTCCCATTTTAGCGGATTTGCAATAATATACGAGAATAGAGATCTCAAAAAAGTTATTATTATTAGTTATGATAGAAGCACTTTAACATGACATCCTATCCTGTAGTCCATATTCACTGAGGCGTCCAAGATAATTTTGCTTAAAATTTTGTGTGTAAATGAGAATGTACTCTAATGAAATAATGTGAGCGTGTTATGAAAAAGAGAGAAATGACTGGATCCAGGCGGAATTTTAAATTGCAAATAACAAAAAAAAAGTATTTTCTTCATGCTATGTGCAAATAGTTGTTAGATGCGATTTATACCTAGTGCAAACAGTGGTAGACACTATTTCCACTTCAGTGTATTTTAGTAAATTATAAAACGGCATGCATCAATAACATATTCAGTGTATGTAATTATATTTATTAAACTCATAAATAGATGCTGCCTAATTGGGACATTACTTGTC